CCTGGCCACGCACTGAAGGTGTGAGGCTGGGGTTGCCCACAGGCCTGACACCGCCCCCCCTACCCCCCCACAGTGCTGTGCAGCCCTCCAGTCGCTGATGAACGTCTCCGACTGCCCTGCCATCCAGAGGACCCAGAGGATGCTGAACGCACTGTGCCTTCGCAAGCCCTCAGCCTGGGTGAGGCCCCTGCCCCGCACCCCGCCCTGCCCCCCTCCTGCAGCCCTGGGCTCGCCCTGGGGGCCCCAGGGGGCCCGGCTGAGCATCTGAAGCACCCACCCACCTGGGGGCGGGTCCACTGTGGCAGCAGGGACGTGGCCCTGGGATGTCTAGGACCTGGGAAGGAGGGCCCACGTCTGTAAAATGAGTCAGGACAGCGGTATCCACCCGTGGGTCTTCTCTGAGGACCCAGCACGCCCAGCCCCGGGAAACCCCTGGCGTTGCCACTAACGCACGGGCCTCTCTCCCACTACAGCCCGTCTCCAGCCCGCCCGTCCGCGACACCAAGGTGGAAGTGACCCGGCTCGCCAAGGACCTGCTGCAGCAGCTCAGGAAGGGTGTTCGCCAAGGGAAGTTCCAGTGAGAGCAACAGCGGGAACTGCTGGCCTCGCTGTTGGCAGAGCTGACCCACCCATTGAAGTTGCAGATTCGTTTTCCTTTCATGTGTCAGACATTTCTTGGGGGAGGTGGGGCGAAGGGGGCGGGAGGGGGTGACATTTCCTTAGCTTAGACCTCAGCCTGTGCTGCCTGCCTTCAGCCCAGCCCGACCCAGCGGCCCCTTGCCCTGGTGCCCGGGGCTTGAGGCCCCACATGGTGGGCCTCCTACCTCCGGGGCTCCAAGCTCAGTGGAGGGAGGTAAAAATATGGCCCCACATGACCTCCCCTTCCTTGGGGCAAACTAGCATTAATTGGGCACCACCCTTGCCAAGCGTGAGGGAGGGGCCTGGTTCCCAGCGGGCGACTGAGGCAGCAGCGCAGGCCTCCTTCTCCTTGGCCTTATTTATTACTGTGTGTTATTTAAACAAGTGTCTGTCTGTGCCGGGGGGAGGGAGGGAGGGACTGCTGCTGCCAGAACTCGGAGCCAAGGAGACTCGGGCTCCAGCACTAATGCAGCGGCGCGAGAGCCCTGGGAACAAGTACTGTGTGCAAACCCTGCTACCTCATGGGCCCTGGGCGGAGGCTCCTGTCTGCAGCCTGCAGCCGGCCCTCAGCCAAAGAGTAATTTATTGTTTTTCCTTGTATTTAAATTTAAGTATTAAAATATGTTATCAGAGTTAATAATATATATAAGAGCAGCCTAGAACACTGCATGTGGTATGTGTGGACTGGGGGGAGAGGTCATTAAATAAATATTCCATTGGCTTTGTCAAGCTGGAAGCCAGAATAAAGGTGGTGACAAGAGACTCACGGTGTTTGCCTTTTATTTTACCTGTGGGAACGCTGGCCTGTGTTCCTAAGACTCTGTGGAGCTCTCCTGGAAACCAGCTAATTGGAGGGGGGGGCTGGGATGGGCGGAGGGGAAGCGAGGGATGAGACCTTGGCAGAAAGAAAGTGAGCAAGCCCCTGGGGGAGGCCTGGCCTGCAGGAAGTGCCCTCACCTCCCCCTGCAGAGAGCGGGGGTGGGGGGCGCCTGGGCCAGGATGTCAGGGTTCAAGGAGGGCGTCTAGAGCAGACGTTGACCTCAGAGTCATCTCATGATCACGGCTCCGATGAGGAGCCAGCCTGCATCTCCCGCACAACCTCTCTGAGGCTCAGAGAAGAGGAGATGGCTTGTTCAAGGTCACACGAGGATAAATAAAGCCAGGATTTGAACCCCAAACTCAATCCAACTCCACTTAACAACACTTAACAACCCTGCCTCCCTGTCCAAGTGTCATCTGGCCTGAATGCATGGCCTTTGTAATATTTTCATCCATCTGCTTGGGCATCTCCCCTGATGGGGCGCTCACTGCCTACTCTTCAGGGACAGCCATTCCATTTTAAAACATTTCTAGTCACTAGTGAGTACACTCGCCGCCTCTGTGAATGACGAGGCATCAATTGACTTGTGGCCCCTGTGGAGCGACTGAAGTGGAGTGCCAGGGTCGCGGGTCCTGGTGTCGTGGTTTCCACGGAGAACCTTTGGGCGGTGCCCCGAGCAGAGGACTGCCCCAGAGGACGGGTGCCTCTGCAGTGGGTGGTGGGTCACTGGAGACCAGTCTTAAACTCTGGCAGGCAGGTGCCCTCCCTGGGGAGCCCAGAGCCCCTGGGAACATCTGCAGTGATGCTCAGAAGTCAGTGGAGGCGGCCACCCAGGAGCAGGGAGAGCTTCCGCAGGCAGCAGAGGCCACGGCAGGCCGTGTCCTGGGGCGGATGACCACACAGACTGCGGTGGAGGGGACCCTCACTTGGCTCCCAGGCAGAGGTGAGGGAAGAGGTCACAACTGACAAGGCAGGATGTTAGGGATGTTTGGCCCCGAGAGGGAAGACCTGGGGAGGGGGCCTGAGAGCTGCGTGTCCCCCAGGCTGTCCGCAGCAGGGACTGGCTGGTCTCTGTGGCCCCACTACATTAGCTGAGGACAGCCTGTGGCCTGCTCTGCACCAGCCTTCTGGGCAGGTGATGACCAAGACACCACATGCACTCAAGGCCGAGCCCCAGCCGGGCGTCTTTAGACGATGGAGGGTCTGAGGAAGCGCTCTACCCTGGAGGGTGGGGACAGGAGGCAGATCTCCACTATCCCCCTCCATCCAGAGATTCGAGAATTTTAAGGCCAGAAGGATATTTATGGGAGATTAATTATAAAATTTAGCATCTATCTGCTGGTAGCATCACTTTTGACCCATGTCCTCTCTGTCCAACCAGGGCATTGGCGTATCTGTCCAAAAGGAAGATGGAAAGTCTGCTGGTGAAATTCCATGTGAATCTCCCAACACAGAGCCTGGGATTGAGGCTGGTGTTGGGGAGGGTCCCTTAGGATTTCCCGAGGCTGTATTCTGAGCCCTGCAGTCCCAGGGCCCTGCAGCTGGGTGCACAGTCCCCACCAGGCCACCGGGCTTCACCACTAGGGGGCAGCCGAGTGCCACATTCTCAGCCACCCACATCTCCCTGCCTGCACCTCTGAGCTGTCCCTAGACAGGGCCTGTGGCCGCCAGCGGTGTGCGGTGAGTCAGAGATGGCGTCCAGGGATGACGGATGCCTCACAGAGCACAGAACCAAGCCACCTCTGGTGGCAACAGGGAGGTAGGATCAGCCAGGAAAGAGAGGGAAAAAGAGAAGAAAGAGAATACAAAGGTCTGTGTCAGCCATTGTGGCCGGGAGCACCTGGGTGTTTGTTTGCTGGGAGTTTTCTCTACCCCATCATCTTGCTTCTTTCCTGTAGGAGGCAAGGGCCGGGCCCGAGAGCAGGGGGAAGAGACATGGTGCTTGGTGAGTGGGAGGGAGATGCTGATTGTGGGGCCCAGAGAGGGAGCCCCCTGGCACCTCGGGAACCCCAAGCTTAGGAGGTTTCACTGGAAGGGGGGCTGGGGCTCAAGTGAGAAACGAGAAGCAAGTGAGTTTCCGGTGAAGTCGGCACCAAACACCTCTGTTTGCTGCTAAGATGAGATGTCAGAAACCCTCGAGTCACCTCAGGGGTTCTCCGAGGGTGGCCCCCGAACTGCTCTGGGCCTAGGAGGACAGGGCTGCCTCTGTGTCCCTGTGCCCAGCAGCTGGGAGGCCGGGGTTTACCCAGTCCATCAGCTCGTCACTGTTCATTATGACGAAGCAGGGAAGTGCCTTTTGCTTATGATCTCAATTCAGCTGGTCAGTTTGAGCAAAGTCAAACTTCTTCCCTTTGGCTCCCGGGTGAGAAGGCCCGCCGGGGCCAGGCTGACAGTGCTCCC